GTTTATTTAAATATTGTTAAAATATTGCAGTTGATTAAATAAAATTATCGAGTTTTAAAAAATTATATTTTCTGTATGTATTGCGTTCGATTAATTAGTTCATCTCGTAGTTTTTTCATCGATTATTTTACTAAATAAAAATGTGGAATATTAATAATAATATTAAAAGGTCAATCGAAAAAGTCTAAAGTGATGCACTAATAAATTAAAAAAAATTATGAGCGGCCTTTCAAAATTCCAATTTTGAGCTGAAACTTCCAGAAACCAATTACTTTTTTTGGTTTATGAAATTATACCGTAACGAGAAAAAAAATTTGAATAAAATAAATTTGGTTTTGGCAATTTGAGGCGACATCTTAAATTTTTTTTTGAACTGTCCTTTGGAGGGGTTCTTAAAACAAACACTTTTTCATTCGAGATTGAAAAAAGTAGCCGGTTTTTCTTTTTTGTACTACCCTAATATGTATACAGGTGCATTATGCAACTAAACCGAGCGGCATGACCTAGAGGTTCAGACTATTGCTTAGCATTCGGGAGGACGACGGTTCGATTCCGGGTCCGTCTGCCTTGGTTCAAGTTTTTCTGTGGTTTCCTTGGATCACCTAGGCAAATGCTGAGGCAGTTATATTCCACAGATAATCTTTCATTCTCTTCTGTCTTCATTTCGTCCGTCTCAACTTTCTCACCCAAACCACCACCCACCCATTCCCACGATTCCTGAAAGCAGGCTGAAGAGGGCCTTCCACCCTACTTTCCGGCATAGTCCGGAGGGACTGCCCGCCCACCAGCATTACTGGTTAGTGGGAATGAAACATCCAAAAGTTTTTTTTTTATGCAACTAACTATAGACCAGTTTTTTGTCGTTATCTTCTACTACAGTTAAAAAAAAAGGTAAAAAGAGACAATTGCGATTACATCTTATAAACGAAAAATGGGAACAGCTTTTTCTCAAAGCGCTAAAGGAAAATCAGTTAAACAGTTGAAGAACGCCTAATCGAATAACTGTTATTATATCCCTGCGACAGTGACGATGCACCAATCAACCTCCAAACAGTCTAATTCTGGCTGAATGAATCTAAACGTGCTTAAAGGCACGCAACTAACCAAGATGCGCCGTTCTCCTTATTTTACTCTGAAATATCAATAACACGGAACCTTTTTTAGTCTAGTTTGGTTTTATCTGTTTTACTCTTTTTGTATGCGTTGGACCCAAGAATATCAGCGTTTGTTACTAATTAACTAACTGAATGCACAATAGGAGAGATTTGTACGAAGTCTTTTGGCGATATCCAACCTGAAACTGTTGGCGTTCTATATTGTGAAGTTGTGCCTGAAATAAAGTCCCGTTTATATGTGTATTTACTAACCGCAATTTATTTAGCGTTCATTTATAGTTGAATTTCCGTAGCGGTGTTTGCATATGCAGTAGCAATAGCACCAGTAGTAGTAGCGGTGGGTACGTTCATTGTTCGACGGCGCATCTAAAAGTTAGTTAATTAAAACCATGTCATAGTATTACCGGCGGAAGCTGCAAAAACTCGAATTTATATTCGGTAGCTATGGCAAAGACGTAATTAGCTGTGGTATAGCGGCAGTTAATTAAAATCGGCCGAAAAGGTCGGGAAGCGCTGCCCTTTGTAAACGGAGCCGGACTGCAGTCAGAAAAGGGTTTGAAACCCTTTTGTTAATACCGACTGGTGCGACTATACCTACAGGTAAAAGGTACAGTAACTTGGCCCAACAAAGACCACCAAGAAAACGATTTCGCATTTTCTACTGCGTTGGACGCAGCGGTCTGTGGGGTGAATTAACGCGGATCTGAAGTTTACTGCACCATCTCTGAAGTTCGTAGTTCCACAAAATGGAAAATTTTCGTAGTGCTTCCAACTTTCTTTTTTAATGGATGTTACGTTACGTTCATCATCATCATTATAAGTTGTTCGGTCCTACGATTGGCTGGACACGTACCTCCACTCTCCTGTCTTGAGCTAATCTTCGCATTTTCTCTAGATGTACCTCTACTCCTCATCACTTTTCTTTCTACCTTTAATATGTCTCTGATAAGACCTTCATGCCTGAGAAGATATCTTAGCAACCTATCTCTCCTTTTCCTTATTGACTTCCATAGAGACCTCTGCTCTCCTATTCTTTCTAATACCTCCTTATTTCTAACTTTCTCTATCCACAGTATCCTCATCATTCGCCTGTAACATCACATTTCGAACACTTGTAACCTTTTCTTTTCCGCCGCACCCACTGTCCATGTTTCGCGCCCCTACAGTGCCGCGTTCCAAACATAGGTACACCTTTAACAACGAGCATAGAAGTGACTTTTTTTCTTGAAGGCGATCCGACCCTGCGCTATCCTCTGCTTTATATCCCTACTGCTCTTACTGTCCTGATTTATTGAACTTCCTAGATATTAAAATTAAGATTTGCAGATGATATAGCACTATTAGCATCTAGCAAGGGCGACCTAGAGATAGCTTTAAATAAAATGGAAGCGGTACTGACAGATCAGTACTGTATGAAAATAAATAAAAGTAGAACTAAAATACTGGTATGCAAGGGAAGAAAAAGTAGGGAAAGAGCGAATATAAAGATAGGAGACGAAAAATTAGAAGAAGTAACTGATTTCAGATATCTAGGAAGTCAGATAAGTCAGGACGTAAGGAGTAGTAGGGATATAAAGCAGAGGATAGCGCAGGCTCGGGTCGCCTTTAATAAAAAGAAGCCACTTCTATGCTCGCGAACGGTTAATTAAGAAATTCGAAAAAGGTTGTTAAAGGTGTATGTTTGGAGCGCGGCATTGTACGGATGCGAAACATGGACAGTGGGCGCGGCGGAAAGAAAAAGATTAGAAGCCTTCGAAATGTGGTGTTATGGGCGAATGATGAGGATATCAAGGGTAGAAAAGGTTAGAAATGAAGAGGTAATAGAAAGAATAGGAGAACAGAGGACTCTATGGAAGTTAATAGAAAATAGGCGAGATAGGTTGGTAGGACACCTTCTCAGGCATGAATGTCTACTCAGAGACATATTAGTGGCAGAAACAGGACCTAGATTAGATTACTCTTCGCAAATAGTTAAGGATGTGGGCTGTTCTAGTTTTAGGGAAATGCGAAGTTTAGCTCAGGATAGGAAAGAGTAAAGGTACGTGTCAAACCAGTCTTAGGACTGACGACCCTATTGATGATATTAAAATCAGTCACTTGTTCTAATGTTTTGTCTCCATCTTTATATTCGCTCTTTCCCTACTTTTCATACCAGTATCTTTGTTTTACTTTCATACAATACATACAATATTTAAAGCTATCTCTAACTCTTCCTTGCTAGATGCCAATACTGCTATACCACCTGCAAATCTAAGCATAGTAATGTTTTGGCCCTATATATTTATCCCTACAGTATCCCTAATATGTAGATATGTGTTTGCTGACGCTTTAATTTGAAAATTTGGATTTCGTAACCCTTCTCATCACTAATATGCTTCGTTAGTGATATAACGTAAATACGATTAGCTTTTATACTTGGACCGATAATCTACGATGGCGAGTAATGATTGATTAACGGAAGGGAGAATAAAGATCATTTATTTCCATTTGGTTAACTTCCTCTACGCTAGCGCTTTCTGACATCTGCTATAACTTCTTTTGCTGATATTTAAGCGTTCATTTTCGAGCCATTTCAGTTTAATTAACCCCAACCCCCAACGCGAACTGATAACTGAACGGACAAACCTATTCTTTTACTAATTTCGTGTTATTTTTTGTGTTATTTTATCTGATAGGTTAATTGCTAATTAATCGAAAATGTTGGAAAGAAGGCGTCTTATCTTTTAGTTTTAATACGAAATTTATTTGAAAGTTTTATGTATAATACAAATGGAAAACGAAAAATATCTATTTACTATTTTCATTTTCTGTTAAAATCATTGCCTTTTTTAAATACTAATTGGAATTCAGCATTGAAAAGTTATTGTTAGCGAACAACTGTTTATTTGTGCTGCTGGAGAGCATTTTACATAAATACTACAATGCTCAACAAATCCAATTGTGTTTATTCTTTTAATACCTATGTACTTCTAATAATACTAATGGTTAAACTATTAGAAAGTGTGCTTCATTCGTTCATACTTATCTTTGTATGTTGAAGTCTCTTTATTGCGTAATTTTTAGCATTTCATTTAATTTTTTATTACAAAGTCGCAAATGAATAACTAATAGGTACCCCAGCAAGTGGTCTTGGTAATTGTCCAAAATTGGGACTCCAGACCAAAATCCC